TTTCCAAGCCCTCTTATGAGGCTAGGGTCACTCTTTCACCTAAAGCAGACAAAGTAGTACCCCCCCCACACACTATAATCCAATGTCTCTTTAGAACATTGATTATATCAACTGATACAGAAAAAGCATGTGATAAAATCCAACACCTATTCATGATAAAAAAAAATCTCAGCAAGTTAACAAGGGCAATTAATTCAACTTATTATAGAGCATCTACTGAAAACTCAAGTATCATACTGAAATGCTTTTTCCCTAAGATCAGGATGGAGGTAAGGATGTCTACTCTCATGGCTCTTATTCTGCTCAGCAGAAGTTCTAGGCCCTACAATAAGACAGGGGGAAAATAATAGCATACATATTGTAAAGGAAAGAAACAAAACTATCCTTACTTGCAGACAGGACTGTTTATACAGGAAATTCCAAGGACTCTCCAAAAATCTCCTAGACCTAATAAGTGAGTTCAGCAGACCACAATGAGATACTACAAGACACCTACTGGAATGCCTAAAATAAATAGTGAAAACACCTAATGCTGGTGGGGCTGCAGAGAATTTTGATCACTTACATTGCTGGTGGGGATATAAAATGATATAGCCATTCTGGAAAACAGTTTGGCAGTTTCATATAAAACTACATATGCAACAATCATATGACCTAGGAAGTAACTCTTGGCCATTTATCCCAGAGTAATGACAATTCAATCTCACATAAAAACCTGTATGTGCATGTTCACAACAGCTTTATTCATAATAACCCCTAACTGGAAACAACACAGATGTCATTCAATGAGTGAATGGATGAACCCCCCATGGTATGTCCATGCCAGGGAATGCTACTCAGCAATAAAAAGAAATACACTATAGATACACACAACAACCTGGATGAAATTCAAGGGAATTAGGACAAGTGAAAAAGGCCAAACTTAAAAGGTTGCATGTTGTATGATTTCATTTATATAACATTCTTAAAATAATAAAATTATAGAAATGGGGAAACAGTTAATTGTCATCAGGGGCTAGAGTCATGGATGTAAGTGGGTTTGGCTATTCAAAGGCAACAGGAGGGATCCTTGTAGTGACAGAACTGACCTGTATTTTGACTATAACAATTTCAATATCCTGGCTGTGATATTGTACACAGTTTTAGTATAGTGTAAGATATTATTATTGGTGGAAACTAAATAAAGAGTAAATGGGATCTTTGTGTATTATTTCTTATATTTGCATGTTACTGTACCATTATTTTAATATTTTAATTAAAAGTGTATATATAATCAAAGAAAAAAATAGCCACCAGGCAGGTCTAAGTAAAGGTCATTTATTTAGCCCATGTCAGCGCCAAGGCAGGTGAGGCAACTAGTAGAGTATATGGCATGTGACCTGGCAGGGTGTGAGCCCTGTGTGGAAAAAAAGACCCGAGCTGGGCAATGGCCAGGCAGGGCTTGAAGACTGGTTATGAAAAGGAGGACTGAGTGAGTAAACACATTCAGGACAATAAGAGCCAGGTTTCTCATTTGTGGAGAAGAGAATTATAAACATAAAAATGAGAAACGCTAGAACGATGATTCAGTGTTCAGTTAGAATGGGAAATACCAATACAAACTCATGGTTTTCAATATATACAGATAAAAACAGAAATAAATATGCATGTAAAAGTGGATAGATATACATGTGAATATGCTAACATATTTTCTAGCTTTGTCTTCTAGGGAGCTTGGGAACGATGATATTTTAGTAGTAGTGCACACAACCATTAGTGAGCCCATCTTGATTTCTAAATTCATTCCCCACTACAAGGCCCCATGGAGAAATCGCTGATTTCAGAGCTGGGACAGGGAAAGTACAAGATGAGACTGAAAGATCTTGGTGTGCCAGAAAGCAAGGAATGCAGAAATGGTGGCGAAATGTCAGAGATATAGCTAGCAACCTGAGGGGGCTCTTAGTGGCCAAATATGGGACAATTTGAGCATCAAAAAAAACTATGGTAAAGAATTATATTCCACTGAACAAAATAGGAATCTACACAGAAATAAAAAAAAAACTGAACAAATAAATGGAAAGAGAAAGTTCTTCCATACAGTAGAATGCCAATTAGGAAATACAGAGGAATGACAGAATTAGAAAACTTACGTTTAGTTATCTATCATAGTAATAATTAATTCAGCCAAGAAACATCAATGGGTGATAAAACTACTGGGTAAAAGTTGGATGAGGACAAGGATATTTACATAATCTCAAAGCATCACTCCATAAAATATTAGTTATGAAGGGAGAAAGAATAATTTATAATGGATTAATCTTGGCAGAAACCACTTTACTAACGTAATCAAACTTAACATTTCCAGTGACAGGGCAAAATGACACCTTGTGTCCCAAGATGGGATGCAGTGAGGAAAGCACAAAATCGCTTCTGTGATGTTTCTGTCCAAAACGCATAACCTTAAGCCTATCATGACAAAATAGAGGAGACAAAATTGAATTGAGGATCATGCTGCAAAATAAGGGCCTGTCATCTTCATAAAGGTAAAGAAAGAACAAACTATGGTCATTGAAAGAATCTAAAAAACCATGACATGTATCTTTTTGCCATTAAAGGATATTTATTGGGTCAGTTGATGAAACTTGAATGGGGGTGTCTGGATGAATAGTATATAGAAATTTTTTGTGTGCTTTTCTGTAAGTCTAAAATTATTTCACAATAAAATAACTAACATCACAAGAAGACAGACAATCAGACATCATGGGCATCCTGATAAAAGAGAAGAGTACCATCCATGAAATACTGTTGCCCAAAAAAACCCCAATCTGACTATAGACTCTACATCCCTCTACCAATTCAGGTTTTAGAAAACACCATGTGGATATAATCAGCAAAATACAGATTGTGGAAAACTCTATAGGGCAAAATCCTGGTTTCTTCAACAAATAAACTGTAAGGAAAACGAGATAGAAGGAATAGGGGGAAACCCCAAGTTTAAAAAGGTGTAAGATACATATTGAATTATAATATATTGACCTTTGTTGAATCCCGATTCATAGATCCATCCATCTATATTTGCTAACATAAAGCAATTATTAATTTTTTTTAGTTATGGTAGTGAGGATATGTTTAATGAGTGAAATGAAGTGAATGGAAGCATGGAAAAGGAGAGGAAGAAGTGAGTAAGCTGAAGCTGTTAAAGTTGGGTGATGGTACCTCCATGGGGAGGGGGTGGTACCTCCATGGCTATCTTTATTGTATTCTGTATACTTTTGTAAATGTTTGAAATTTCCCAAAATAAAAGTTTGATTTTTTTTCCCCAAAAAGTAGCAGAATCAAGATTTAAATCTGTGCCTATCTCATTCCAAAGTTTTCTATTGATAAGTTTTCTATTTCTCTTTAAAAATAATTTAAATATTTTATTTATGTATGCCCTAATTAATTTTTCCCATGGTTCATTAGCAAACATTTAAAAAAATAGTTCCCATCCCAATGTTAACCCAATAAAGATAACTGACTACTTTTATAGATGAGATGCACTTTGAAAAAGTTAGATATAAATTAATTTTTTTATTTTTCCAAATTAAAAATTAACTACATGTATACAGTGAGGACAATTTTAATTAAAAAGATGGTTTTGGGAAAGGTAAAAATCAGCTTACCTAGTGAATCACAATAGAGGTGTTACAACCTTCCTGGAGGTGTTTGGACATGTGCAGAGCTTTCTGATTGTCACTGTAATTTGGGGATATTACTGGATTCATTTGGAGGGGGGAAGCAGGGGTACTAAACGTCTGTAGTGCTGGAGCTCTCCTGCACAATGAAGAGGTGCCCCACCTCTAAAGCCAACATAATCCCTGGGGAGAAACACTGACTAAGAGGTAACAATGCAACAGAAGAAAGGACAGGGAAAAAGGTTCGTCTGACTTTTACACTTGTTAGCTGAAGAACTTAGGAAAAACAACCCGTTATTCTATAATGGAAGCTGCAAGTAGATAGACATCATTGTTGCATTTGTTATAGACAGCACTTCTTTCTAAGCCAGGGACACTAACATACAGTAAGTGTGGCACACAGATACTGTCCACAAATGGTAGTGACCAGTAGTGTTGGTCCCCCTATAGTCAGACACAGCACAGACAGACCAAGGAGGATCTAACAAGGTCAGAAGTGGGAAACACTGATTTTCTCGGTGAAAGAGAGTTCCCCCTGGTGGAGTAGTTAGATTCCAACAAGCGCACAGTCAACTGAGAACCAATTACTCTCAGCAAGCGTTGAACGCCATCCAATCAATACTTTTAGACCTGTACTCCTTTACTTTTCCTTATATTATCTAATCCATACTCTGGGCGGAAATCCTGCAAAGTTCCCTATACAGGAGAACTGAAGTGAACTTGGGCAAAACCCAGAGTGGGCAGTAAAAAAGTCATGCAATGGAAACTGTCCCCCCCCCCAAAAAAAAATTACCCAACATCTCTTGGCTGGCTGAAGTGCCAAAGTAGCACAAAATCAAGGTGTGCCCCCAGCTTACAACGTGCAATGGTAAGAAAGAGTGAGGGGCAAGTGGCAGTGAGAGTCCCAGTCACAGCACCCTTCCTTCAGGGGCACCACGTAAAAAATCAAAACTGTGGGAAGGCAATCGAAGAGAGACAAAAACTGGGAGGGGCAGGGTTAGCATGCTTCTGAATGTGCTTTACAAGTAACACTGCAAGTAACCAAAGAAGAAAAGGAATGAAAGTTTGGTTCACAAGGGCGCATTTGAAGAGAGGAACAAATGAATATTTTGAGTCTAAGAATTGTACAGGAGACAAACATTGTTTTCAACGTTACTTCTTAACTGGCCAAGGTCATTATTCAGGATTTAGAAAAGGAATTTTAAATAAAAGGCCAAAGTAGTACCTGCAACGTGGGTTTCCAATAGGAATGAAGAATCATGCCTTTTCTTTCATGTCCATTCACATAGTTTTACTAAACCCTCGCTTGCACAAACAGACAGAAAGAGTATATTAAAGAACAAGTACCTTTCACGTTTGCAGCATGCCCACTGTTAGTCACCAGAGTAGAATATGGTTGTTCATGCTGAGGCAAGACTCCTGCAGCCATGATCCTCTGTTGGGAGAAAAAAAAGATTACTTTTTGCAAGTCTGCCCATTGGATATTCATTTACTAATTATCTATAATATGCTAGACCTCAGCAGTCTAACACATTAGTTTTCAGCTAAGTGGCTACTGAGTACTTGAAATGTAGCTAGTACAGATTTGAGATGTGCTGTAGGAATAAAGTACAAGTTTTTCAAGACTTAGTACAAAAACAAATCATGTACAATATCTCACAAATAAATTTTTTACATTCATTCTACATTGAAATATTTTTTATATACTGGATTAAATAAAATATATTATTAAAATTTACTTTCTCTGATCCTTTTAATTTTTACTGTTGCTACTAGAAAATCTAAAATTGAACATGTGGTTGCATATAGTCTACTGGATGGTGCAGTGCTTGTAAAGACGTTGCTAGACAGACATGAGCAGGGCTGGGACGATGGGCCAGGTTCAGAAGCTCACCAGGGCAGGAAGCCCTGGATGTCTAGCAAGGGACAAAAGTGGGAAAACAAGAACCTTGTCCCCAGGGTGACCTAAGCTCCCTTAGCATATTGCTTATCATGTGGTTTAGACCCCCTGAGCGTTTCCTCCCGAAAGATAACAGCTAGGTCTCCCTTCTATTTCAGCTCCAAGCGCAGATAACCAGAGAAACCAGACAAGCGGTGCTGTGGCTGCCTCAGGACCAGCTACATTGACTAATGACCTCCTGCCCTGGGACCAACCCATCAGTGGAGACCAGGGCCCTGAAAGCACGCCCAGAAAACAGATGAATATTCTATTAAAAACCTCCCCTGAGACCTCCCTAAGATTTCCACCTATAAGAGAGAGATAAGCTCAGGACAAAGGACCTAGCACGTGCTCCCCCCACAGAGGAGTAAGCCAGTGCCATTCCCTCCCCCTTCCTCTATCTAAGGGACCCCAGGAGACTCGCCACGAGGGGAGCAATGCACAGCGGCAGCTCGTCCTGGGCTAACCCCTGAACCTGTCTCCAAGGCCCCCTTTCTCTGACTTCTCAGTGAGCCAGCACAGCCCAGTGTAGGCTCTCCTGTTACTTCTATGCCCTTCCTTGTCTCACTGTCCCCAGTATACTTTGCTGCCACCCTGGCCCCAATGCCCTCTGACGCAGCACTGTGTAGCCCTCCCCTTTGGACATCCCCATCCCCTTTTGCTTAAATACATTTTTCTTATTCACCTTCTGAGATGGCTATTTAGCCTGCCTCGCACCACGAACTTTAACCTTTCAGACATTATAGGGGAAAACAGACATACTCTCCCTTGTACATTTGTAGTCTGTCAGGAAGAAGAAAAGTAGACACAAATAAAGCTAATATGTGCTTGGTATCACAAAACAAGACTTGGACAAGCGGGAGGGCTGTCCAACTTCAGGGTGGCTGCAAGGCTTTAAGGAGAAATTCGAATTTGGACTGGGTTCAAGGAGTAACATTTATTGTGGACTTGACAGTATACAAGGCAAATGAACAGAACCCTTCATTCTTTACTAGTTCAGTTAAGTGAGGGTTTGCAACATTTATATGACTTTCACCTACAGTTAACTTGTATGATTAAGTGATTGTTGTGTCACTATGGTTTCCACTGAGGAAAGTTAAATAAATAGTTTCATATGTGAAAAAAGCAAAACTCGTCTCCTTTCTTAAGCTCTTATTATATATAAAAACTGTGAAATGAGAAACTTATATATTGCTCTCTGTTTCTGATTCCTGACACAGAGCAACTAAACCCTTATAAATTCCTAAGAACAAAAGAACAAAAGAGCACTAGGAGCATCTTTTGTTCTAATGAGGAGGCCAAGATTAGAAGTCCTCTAGGGAGGTGGGGGGCAGACATCTTCTAGCGGAACCCTACCCAACACAAGCATGACCTCCACAATATTTTTGAACAGTAACAGTGATGCCATCACACAGCTCTAGTAGTTAGAAAGCTCTTCATAATGCTGGTGCTCTGTGATTTCTGCCTACAGTTGGCCCTAATTCCGCCCTCTGAGCCCACATAGAACAATAAACCCTTTTTTCCACATGTCTAAAGCTGGTGATCATGTTCCCCTTTCTCCCAAATCACATCTTCCCAGACCAGACGCCAGCAGTTCCTGTTCCCACTCTTCACATGTAATGGCTATAGACTTCACCATCCTGGATATCCTTTCTACTTGCACTCTATAGTTACTCATATACTAGAGCCCAAGATGAAATCTATCCCCCAGAGGGGATGTGATCATCAAAAGTTAGAACAAAAACAGTTCCCTTATTGGACAGTATATGTGGCTTAACATCACATTAGTATTTTCAGCAGGCTCAAGATACATCAGGATACATCAACAGTCAAAGAAAAACCTGGTTAGAAATTATCTGTAATACATTTTGAGGTTAAAATATAGATATTCAGTATGAATGGTTAAACATATTTCAAACTTTAAAGTGAGGTAAATGATAGAGAATAAAAAGTAAAGTCTCCACTCCTGTCTCCCTGCCCAGGTTTTACTCCCCAGAGATAACAATGTACTCATTGGCTTTCATTCTTCTGGGGTATAGGTCACTATACTTACACCTCTGGCTATTATTTCATCATCATTAAACCATATTATGAATTCCTGGCATAAAGAAATATATAATATCTAATATAAACACACATAATCTGTACACATACACCTTTTTAGAAAAATATTTACTAAGTACTGTGCTTGGGCCCATACAAAAAAAATATAATCTTATCACCACACCTGTGCTGTTCAGAGTTAAACATTCTAGGCATCAGTGTCAAATGGACTACCTTTCTTTCATCATCAGTTGCCTAAAACAAGAGCATACTTGTGTGTTTTGCTGCAACTTTGGACCATGTGTTTCTTATAAACTTACCTCTGGTTTTTAATCTCCTTTTTCTTATTGACCAAAGAAATGTAAATCTTCATCATATCCCTAAGATCTTTCAACTTCTTAAATGCTATGGTTACCTACCATCTAGCTGCTTTTTGAAGGTATTTTCCCCAAGTCCTCTAAATTCCTATTCTAATGTGAATGAGAAACTTCCCAGGCCCACTACCTAGCTGTCAACCTGGGATGTCTCTTATTATACCCTTGAGTCAAGGCCTCTGGTCCTTAGATGCTGCTTGGCTTTGACTTATCCTTAAGTAAGTTTTTCATGAAAGATGATCAGAATGTAAACTTTCTAAGTCCTTTTGTTATTGGAGAATCAAATTCCACCCTCACTTGGAGAGGGATGGCTCTTGGGGTACCACTGAACTAAGCATTTTCAGAGGCCCCCATGGGAAATGAGATGTGGTACAAGACTTTATTTGCATGGGTTATATTCCTGGGGTGGCAAAATCCCATGCCTCTTAAGCCAGTCCTAAAAGAGGGGCAGTATGGTTCCAGTAAAGCCAAAGGCAAGGCCACGGTCCAGAGCTTTCCTTCCATGTTGCAGCCAGGCCCAGTCCAATATTTAGGTTATTGAAAGTCCATTAGTCCATGGTGTGGAGTTCCACATGGCTGTGAGCCACGTGGGCTCAAGGGAGCGTGCCCCCTGCAACAGGACAGCCAGGAACCCGGTGAGAGAGAGAGAGATTCCTTCGTCTAGGAGTTTATGTATTCAGGTTTCGTGCCCTTGCAGTGGCCATGCCTATTCTGGCCACTAATTTGTTCCCAGCTGTGACTGACAGGTAGGTACCTTCCCACGTTACTCAGACCTTACTAGGCATTAGAGTAAACTGCCTTTGTCCAGTCCCTTCCCCCACCAGACTTGGAGAGTGTTAAATTAGTAAAGCTGTATAAATGGCATGCCTATATCCTCTAGTCTTCCCTTTACTCTTTTCCTGTTAAATAATAACCAGGCTATTATAACGGTATCACTTTCATTCTGAAATTATCTTTATTTTATCCTTGTACTCAGCTAATAATCTGGCTATTTACAGAACTCTAGGTTGAAAACCATGCCATATCAGAGTTTTGAAGGTATTTTCTACTGTGTTCTAGCTAACAATATTGCTGATGAGAAGTGTGACACCAACCTGAGACTTGTAACAGGTCTACTGCAGTATCTTTATCTTTGGTATTCTGAAATTTCACAAGGATGTGTATTGGGAGCAGGCCCTTTTCACTCACCTTGATTGGTTCCTGCTAGGCCTTTTTAATATGCAGATTGATGGCTCATTCAGCAGGTACAACTGACTGGGCACCAGGTACTATGGGGAGCTATGTACTATCCTTATCTTTTTCTCAGGTGGGAAACCTTGCCTGAGTTCACACATTTTTAGCAGTAAAGCTGGGACACGGATCTCGCCTGCATGCTCCTGCCACCAATCTGCTGTGCCATATGCAAAGATTAACCCAATTTACACAATTTACTAAAAAGTGTGTCTTTTCTCTCTTCATTAATGCCAGGCATTTCAAATATTTTTAACAGAACCACCTTATTATTGTTTTACTTTGCTTATCTTTATTTAGTGAGGCAACTTTAAAAAAATATATTTTTATTGATTTCAGAGAGAGGAAAGGAGAGGGAGAGAGAGAGATAGAAACATCCAATGATGAGAGAGTCATTGATCGGCTGCCTCCTGCATGCCCCCGACTGGGGTTTGAGCCCGCAACCCGGCCATGTGCCCTGACCAGGAAGCGAACCCCAATCACCTGGATCTTAGGTTGACGCTCAACCAGTGAGTCATGCCCAGCCAGGCTAGTGAGGCAACTTTTAAAAAATGAATTTCTTATTGATAAATTGCCTGCTTCGGAGCTTAGCCGCACTTCCTACTGGACAGTTGCCCCTTTTTTACTGACTTGCAAGATGTTCTTCTATATTGAAAATATCAATTCTTCACCATATGTGTCAAATATCTTTTTAACAGTTTATCATGCTTTAATTATGTTAATGTGGGTTCTGCCCAGCATTCTCATTGTTTGTGTAGTCTGTTTTCTTAGACTTTTCTGGCTCTACTGCCACGATGAGAAAGGCTTCCTCCAATACATGATGTAAGTCCCATTTTAATGCCTCCCATTCCGGATTCCTAGATATCATCCCATGTTGCAGGTTGACAGCACTACTGCTAAAACACAATCATCTACAGAATTAAAGATGGCCCATCTTCAAAGAATATCAATTCTGTAGATGTATGCTAATGTGACTATACTTTGAAAAAGTAAAGTAAAAATTCTCTTTATTTGTAAATTATCTACATTTGTAAAGCTTAAATACTATATTTTTATAAAACAAAATGAAAAAGTAATTCTTCTAATCTAGGAAAAACAGTGGAAGAATGGAAAATTTTAAAGATTTAATTCCCGAGCGTTACCACATATGCTTAGAGTTAAACTACCAATTGTGAAAGATCTAAGCTACAATAGGCATTAGCTTGAGAAACAATATTGCAAAGCCATCAAAGTCTGAGAGGTAAACAGAACATATCAGCCCTACTTGTATCTGCCGGGCCCCTGGAAGCACACAGTGCAGGTTCCTCTTCGTTCTTATGGTTGCTCATCAGTGGCCTTCATCTAAAAGTCTAGGAGCCTCAGTTTCACTGCTCTACAAATTCAACAGCTTTCCTCTTTGCCCAAGTGCCTGCCAGACTTTCATCCTGTTTTGCCCACTTAATCCTTCTATCTTCCTCTCGGAATCCCAATTACTCATTCAGCAGGTCTCCTTACTGACTTCTCTTCCTTGTCATTTGAAATCAGTATGGCAGCTCCACAGCTGCCCTTCACTTTAAGGCTGAGGAGACTGCTAAGGTGGCACCTCTGAGGCTTCCACTTGCTGCTCTAGCTATCATGAGGCCTTTCTTGTCTGGCTGGTGGGAACACAAACTACTTCCAGCCCTCTGAGAGCCCTGAAAACTGGTCTGTCTGCTCCTTCCTGTGCCTTTCCTTGGTCTCTGGTAGTCTGCACACATCAGTACTCAGGCAAAACCCCTTAGGCCAGGAAAGATGCCTGGGGTCCTCTGCATGTCTCCAGCGCTACCTCTTTGTGCTGCTCCCTTCTCTCCAATACCCTAACTGCAAATCCTAGCCACCTTGGCTCTCTGCCCATCTCTGAACAGGCTCTGTTTAGGGCCTCCTCCCGGTATTACAAACTGCTTCAAGGGAGGCAACTGGTGCAATCTTAAACTCACCATGTTTGTTTCTCCTCTCTCTGAGACCACAGTCCCAAGTTTCTTGCTTTGCAATGTCCAAAACCCACTTTTTATATATTTTGTCTGCTTTTCTAGTTGTTTAACGCAGGAGGATAATTCTAGACTCTGTTATTTCATCTGGATTGGAAATAGAAATCCCCCTTGGCCCTCATAAAATAACTTGAATCCAGGGGAACTCTGCAAGAATGCTCACTGTGCATAAAAACACGAATTGACAGTCTAACTGTATATAAATGCTAATCAATTATATACAACTCAGTTAAGTTAGTAGTTAGAAATTCTGTGTTTAAATATTGACTGTTCATTGCCAGCTATATGAACCATTTTGAGCTTCAATCTTCTCTTCTGTGAAATAAGGATTATATCTACTTTCTTAGGCTGCTATAGGATAAAGAGAGACTGTGTGTGTGTGTCTCTAGCACAATGTCTGGCATATACAGACATTGTGTTCAATAAATGCTTGTTAATTTAATTTGCAAACCAGGATCTGTATGTAATATCTTTTTCTTTCCATTCTTAGCCTGTGTTCACTTCCCTTCCCTCTTACTTTAGTAAGAATTTGTCAACTATTCACTTCATTACCTGTGTAACAGTCCTACCAGCACTTAGTAATGGTTGAATCTCAAGATTTATGAAAACACTCCATTACCAACTGAACTAATTTCATGTGCCTGGTTGTAGAGTCAGGAGAAAAAGAGTTTGCTAGTATTCCTGTTATTTCAATGCACAATCATATATTATTCAATTTTATTTCCTGTTGCTAATGACATATTTTGCTCATTCTATTGTACAGTTTGCTTTTATCCCAAAAAGTACCCCCAAATGACTATTTAGAATTAATCACATGCTCACTGATTAATACCTTATACTTAAAACTTAGAATGGCAACGGATGTATGCTGTTAAGAAGAGTAGTCATGAAGTGAGAGTTTAACATAAAGAATTCTACTTCATAAAAAACGTTTCACACAGAGACTGGGTTCTGGGATGAACCAAGTTCTCTGGTCAGACTGGGTTCTGGGATGAACCAAGTTCTCTGGTCACTCACTAACTTTCCCTGTCATCTTCCAGACATACGGTGTTCTGACAAAATCTACACGTGTACTTTTTGGAGAGAATTTGTGGGGAATGCATGAAGAAGTGCCTGGGAGGTTGGAAGTGTGGTGTAATGCTTCCCAGACTCTCACATCACTAGCATTCCAGTCTGCATCAACATCATCTTGGGTACTTGTGGAAAATAAAAATTCCTGACTCTACCCGCAAAACATGTGAGTTGGTAAGTCTAGTGAGAAGTGTAACAACCTGTATTACCAGATACTCCAACTCGTTCTGATGTAGGAGGCCCTCTGCCCACACTTAAAGAAATGCTGTTAATATGATTAGATTCTACATAGCCATCATGGTAGCAGAAGTTGAGGATGAAAAACTTACGTATGGGGGAAAATAGAGATGGAAGCCCAAGTATATGAGTGAACCTATGAAAGCTATGCAAATATTTTTATGTTCACAAATAATACAATAATAATAACTCAAACACATAAGCTTACTCCATGCCAAGCACTGTTTCAGGTGTTTTATAAACCTTAACTCATATAATCCTCATCACAACGCTATTGAGTACTACTATTATTCTCATTTTTACAAAACAGAGTTTACTTTCAGAGCAGTTTTAGGTTCTTAGCAAAACTGAGTGGAAGGTACAGAGATTTCCCCATATAACTCCCGCCACACCCCCACACGCACAGCCCCCCCACTATCAACATCGCACTCTAGACAGTACATTTCTTACAATCAATGAGCCTATACTGACACATCATTCTCTCCAAAGCCCATAGTTTACATCAGGGTTCACACTTGGTGCTGGACATTCTAGGGATTGCAGTGATTGTATAATGACATGTATCCACCATTATAGCATGATAGAGTATTTTCACTGACCTAAAAATCCTCTGTGCTCTGTTTAGCCATCCCCCTCCAGCCACCCTCTTACCCAGCAACCACTGATCTTTTTACTGTCTCCATAGTTTTGCCTTTTCCAGAATGTCACAGAGATAGACTCTTACAGTATGTAGCCTTTTCAGATTGGCTTCTGTCACTTATTAATACACATTTAAGACTCCTCCATGTCTTTTCATGGCTCGACAACCCATTTCTTTTTAGTTCTGAATAATATTCTACTGTCTGAGGATGTCACAGTTCATTCATTAATTCACCTACTGAAGGACACATTTGTTGTTTCCAAGTTTTGGCAATTATAGATAAAACTGCTATAAACATCTGTGTACAGGTTTTTATGTTGACATGTTTTTCAACTCCTTCGGGTAATCGCCAAGGAGCATTACTGTTGGGTCACATTGTAAGAACACGTTTAGTTTTATATATTATTCCTATTTTACAGATTAGGAAATTAAGGCAAAGATAAGTTAAATAGCTTGCCTGAAGTCACAGAGCTGTGAAGTAGTAGAGCTGGGATTTGAAAATCCACACAGTTCAGCTCCAGAGTTTGTGCTCTAAACCACTACGCATACGGCTTCTCAACAATAAAGACGCCACACTAAACAAAATGCATTTAACTTAGCTACACTGGATTCGGCACCATTTATAATTCCTTTGCTTCCAAGAAAATTTTCAGATCTCCATATCCACAGTAACATTTTCAAATCTGTTTTGTTTTGTGCAGGTAATTTGCTGATCTTTCATCCAAATCTTCATTCAGTGCTATCCAAAGACATATATCACGAACAGAGCCCCTTACATATTTCAGCCTCCTCTCTCCTAACAAACACAAATACAGCTGGTCTGAACATAAGGTCATAAAATCCACACACATTTTCAATACACCTGTAGGCACTTACTAGCTGCGTGATCTTAGGTACATTTATTAACATCTCTTAGACTCACTATCTGCCCAGTGGTTGTAGAAAGATTACCTAAGAGCCTGTATACAGACCTAATCTGTGCCTGATCCATATTGTTTGTTCTCAACACAGCAGTCAGTGATCTTGTTAACTTCAGCTGAGTCATATCATCCCTCTCTTCAAAACCTTTCTAGCTACCCTATTTGCAATTTAAGTCAGCTCCCCTTCTGTTTCACTTTTCTCCTCAGGATTTATGAAGAAAACCCATCTAACACATTATATAATTTACTTACTTATTTTGTGTATTGTCTGCCTTCACCTGCTAGAATGTAAACTCCATGAAGGCACAGATTTCTGTCTGCTTTGTCAACTGTTCTGTCTCCACAGCCTACAACAGGGCCTGGCACATAGTAGGTGCTCAATAAAGATCTGTGGAATGAATATATGAATAAAAATAAACATTAAATAAAAGGCAACTGCCACCACCACCCTTATCATTTAATCTCTCTGAAACTCACTTCTTCATCTGTAAAGGAGTGGTAATTATGCTTTACCTAACTCAAGGTTATTGCTAAGAGCACATCGATGACAGCACCACTATGGAAATTCAACACTTAGCATCTTCCTTAACTTAGTTTTCCTTATCACATTTATATCTTCAACGTGTTGCTGATCTTCAACCTGAGAGATCTGTCTTTCTTCTAATTCCCTGAAGGGTGAATCTGTTTTCTTTTCCAACAAATAAGCATGGTGACAATAACTCCAACCCTTAGTCCAAATTCTTTCTCCTTTAGGATGCCTTGCCTGGTATCAGTTACACATTTTATTCAGATCCCCTCCTCCTGAAGGGCTGACTGAAGATTTATCCAGTGGCTCTAATGCTATAAACACAGTTTCCTAATATCAGAGTAGTTTTATCCTTAAAGAATTAAAGCACTCCTTATGATTCTTTACATAGTAAAACAAAACAGATTTACTTTATACTGAAATCTCCTCACCTCTGAATCTGCAACCTCAAATAAATGACAGGACTATATAAAATCCCTTTTCTCCTCAAATCACCCCTAGGGCAGTCAGGCATTTAAAAACCATTTAAAAAACACCTTTTGTTCCGGCCCACATGGCTCAGCGGTTGAGCATCAACCTATGATCCAGGAGATCACAGTTCAATTCCCCGTCAGGGCACATGCCCAGGTTTTGGGCTCAAACCCCAGTAGGGGGCATGCAGGAAGCAGCCAATCAATGACTCTCATCATTGATGTTTCTGTATCTCCCTCTCCCTTCCTCTCTCTGAATCAATAAAGATCTATTTCAAAACAAAACAAAACAAACAAAAAAACCACCTTTTCTTTTTTCCATAACCCCACCCCCAGCCTTTCTAACACCCCCAGGGAAAGTACTAAGGGCTGCCTTGAATATACATGTCTGGCAGTTCACTATGGACTTCACTGGCTTCTGTGATCTCACACCTTAAATACACCTTGGGGAGGGCCCTCACTCTCAAGAGACTTGTCACACTTCAGGGAAAAACAACACTAAAACAAGATCCTTGAGATTTCATCATTTAAAGAAATATGCTGTTTGGTTCAGATTCTTCAGGAAATACATGGTAAAACACATGGGTAAATATTAACAAGAGTGAAGATGATTTTCACAAACAAGTTTCCATACTCCCTTGCCTTTTCTCATAAACAGCCGTACCTGGCTAGTTATTCTTATAGGTTTAAATTTATTTTACTTAATATTTTTAGAGAGTAGATGAAAGGGAGGGAGGGGGAGAGAGAAACATTAATGTGAGAGAGACACACCAACAGGTTGCTCCTGCTCATGACCCCCCCGGGGCTGGGGATCGAACCTGCAACCCGGGTATGTTCCCTTGACCCAGAATTGAACCCACAACCCTTAGGTGTGCTGGCTGATGCTCTAACCACTGCTCAGGGTGATTCCTACGGTTTAAATCAACCTCACATCAATGTCCCCACTACAGATACTTCTAAGCTCATCAAGAGGTCAACAATTCCTAATTCAACAGAACCCTGGGAGGGCTTTCTTAGAAATGCAGACTACTGGGCCCCACTCCAGAATTTCCACTCAGTAGGTCTGGGTGTGGCTGAGAATCTACATTTCTAATTGGTTTCCAGTAGTGTTGATGTTCTGAGAAGCACTGCATTGGGTAAGCAGTTTGCATTTACCTAACAGCAGGTATTCATACAAACTATTGTGAAGGTGTATCTCCGGGGTTCTGTTTAGCTGTCAAACCACAAAGCCTTTTAACAGCTCCTGAGCAAATCTTCACAAAATTGAAATACATTAAGAAGCTTCACATCATCCATCAGATCTAGAAAGAACCTCGTATTCCTGGGTGGGGCCTGGGTACTAATGTTCCTACCAAAATTCTATTTCAAACCAAACACATCACCTGAAATCAGGGCATTGCTATGCAGGTGACATCAGCAAGAAAAAAGAGATTCCCCACACCAGCCACTTTTTGGTCAAGCACCAGATACCATACCATTTTGGACACCATACCTCGTATTCCTAACCAATAAATGTTCATTATCTAATATTCCTTTTCAGAAATATATAAATATTGTGGATATGATTATATTCACTTGTTTTTGTTTTTGTTAATCCTCTCCTGAGGATATTTTTTCCATTGCTTTTCAGAGTGGAAAGGAGGGAGGGGGAGAGAGAGAGAAAGGAGAACATCAATGTGAGAGAGACACATCGATGGATTGCCTCCCTCATGTGCTCCACTGGGGGTGGGGAGGGAACCCCCAACCCACGTACATGCACTAGACTGGGAATTGAACCTGTGATGCTTTGGTGCACAGCTGACACTCTAACCACTGAGAACACCAGCCAGGACTATGAGATGACCATCTTCTAAGTGTTGCAATAAACAGAAGCTCAGCCAAGAATTCTATATCCAGCTCTACTCTCCTTGAAAAATAAAGGAGAAATTAACACATCTTTGGATTTAAAAACAAACAAATATTTAAAAAACACACACAACCTGACAGCTTTTGCTGCTAGCACACCTGCCCCACAAGATTCATGAAAGGGTCTTCTTCATGCTGAAATAAAAAACACTAAACAGTAACTCAAATCCACACAAAGAAAGAGCACCAAAAGCCTAATTAAACTGGCATTATGAAAATTCATTTAAATATAACTCTTTTCTTGACCTGCTTTAAAAGATACCTGCATAGAGAAATAACTACAAAAATGAGTTGATGAGCTTATAATGTATAAAAATGTAATTTCAATTATAAGACAATAACCGTATAAAAGCGGGTAAAGAAATGGAAGTTATATTGGAGGAAAATTTTTGTAGAGTATTGAAATTAACCTAGGATTAATGTGAACTAGATTGTTTAAATTAAGATGCTAATTATAATCCCTGGATAAATGCTAAGAAAATAACTCAAAATATATAGAAAAGAAACAAAAAGAAACTGAAAGACATAATCAAAAATATCTCAGGTTTATGTGCTTCTGGACCCAGGGCTTGGAAAAATAGACCTTGGTGCACATCTTGTTTCTTTCCAAAGGCATCCAGCCCCAGCAGAGGGAACCACAAGCTGTGGAGGGAGGAAAACTTCAAACAGGGTACTCAAGGCCAGTCACAAACAGCATCTGGCATTGGCCTGCACCAGAGACCACCCAAAAGACTGCAAGTCCTAGCAGATCTACCTAATACATAGAAACAAACCCAAACAGGCAGCCAAAATAGGAAGACAACAAAACAAACCCCAAGTGAAAGAATAAAATAAGTCTCCAAAAAGAAAGCTGAGTGAAATGGAGATAGGAAATCTATCAGATATGGACTTCAGAATACTGATCACAAGGATGCATGAGAAAAGATATGGAAATTATGAGGGAAATTAAGGATGACATAGGAGAAATAAAAAATACATTGGAAGGAAGAAAATGCAGATTAGGGGAAGCTGAGGATCGGATTAGTATATTAGAAGACAGGGTAGAAAAAAATCAATCAGAGAACCTAAAACAAACAAACAAAAAACAATTAAAAAACAAGAGGACAGTTTAAGGGAGTATGGGACAACGTGAAATGTAATAATATTCGCATAATAGGAGTGCCAGAAGATTCAGAAAGTAAGCAAGGTTTAGAAAATCTGTTTGAAGAAATAATGGCAGAAAACTCCCCTAACCTGGCAGAGCAGATCCTCTAACAAAGTTGGTTAGCTCAACTGTTTCACTGTAATGTTAATGAGATGCTGTCCGAACTTAATTCTTGTTTACACCAATTAGCCTACGGTAAAACTAGTTTTGTTGTAAGTCGTTTTGTTTAAAGTAGCGGAACCTATAGATGACAATTAATGAGGACTTACTGTATGGTCTATGACCACAATGAAATTAAGTTAGAAATCAACAACAGAAGAAAATGTAGGAAAATCACAAATATATAAAAGTTCAACATATGCTTAAATAACCAATGGGTCAAAGAAACTACAATAAAAAATATAAAAAGCTTTAAGGTGAATTAAAACAAACATACAAAATATCAAAATTTATGAGACACAGCTATCGCAAAGCTTAAAGGGAAATTTATAGCCGTAAATGCATATATTAAAAAAGGACAAAGAAATCTAATCAACAACCTACCCTTTCACCTTAATAACTGAAAAAATAAGAGCAAAATTAACCCAAAGCAAGCAGAAAATAAGAAATAAATGAAATAGAAAAATAATAGAGAAAAATCAAAGAAAAGTTGGTTCTTTAAAAAGATCAACAAAACTGACAACTTTTAACTAGATTAATCAAGAAAAAGAGAAGTCTCAAATTACTAAATTAAGACTAAAAGAGGAGACATCATAATAACCAACCTTACAGAAATAAAAATGATTATAAGAGAATATTATGAAGCATAGCATGCCAACGAATAGGTAACAAAGATGAAATAAATTCCTAGAAAGATACACTAGCAAGAACACATTCAAGAAGAAATACAAAATCTGAATAAATCTACAACAAGAAATTATTATTTCAAAAACTTCCTACAGAAAAAAAAAAGCCAGGCCCAGATGGTTTCACTGGTGAGTTCTACCAAATATTTAAAGAAGAATACATACCAATCCTGTTTCAAAAAATAGAAGAGAAGGGAACATGTCACAATTCACGCTATGAGTACAGTATTACACTAACAGTAAAATGAGAAAAACATCCCAAGAAAAGAAAGCCACAGACCAAAATCTCTTATTAATATGAAGGCAAAAATTCTCCAAAAATGTTAGTCAACTGAATCCAACAGCATATAGAAAAGTATGTACACCATGACAAAGTAGAATTCATCTCAAATATGCAAAGTTGGTTTAACATTTAAAAAAATCAATTAATGTAATATATGAATAGAATAAAAGACAAAAACCACATGATCATCTTAGTAGACACAGATAAAGCATTTG